GAATAGTGATGACCGGATTCTAGCTAATAAGCTAGGATATGTTTTTGCTTTCTCTTTCTTTAAAAATAAGATACCCGGGACACAACTGCTTAGAGCATTTTCTCCGCATCATGTTGCCCAGTCAGCACACCACGTAAGCAAATATAACAGAGTTACTGCCACATATGTCAAATTAACGCCGTTAACTGTTGCTCTAATTCCTTTTCAAACTATAAGGACTAACGTTTAAAATAGAAATAAATTTGAGGCACCAAAATCACATGTTCCAAATTTCAGGGACTAAAAGCAAAATGAAACTAAACTAGAGGGACCAAACATTGTATTAACTTTTTTTTGTGTTCACCTCTCTCTTGATGAATCTAGCTAGAAGCAAGAAAATAACTGGACTTTAGTGCTCATGTAATAAATGTAATAAGTTCTTCTCTCTAAATAAATTCATATAATATTTTAGTTTGATTCTTTTAATCTTTTAATTCTAATATTACTAGCGTCCTAACCTACTACTACTACTATTATTATTTTTGGTAAAAACCCAATTATTATTCTTTTAGTTTTAAATATAAGATCCACTTTATACTATAATTTACATTCTAAAGTGGATCTCACATAAATTGGAACAGTATTAGTTTTAACATAAAACTTAAGATAGCATTTGAGGATATTTTGTCGGCATTTAAAATTTTGATGTCAGGATTTTTTTATTAATAACATTAGGATTAGAGAAATAAAAAACACTTTATAATAAAATTTCAAAAATTACAATGAATTTTTATATAAAATTAATTACTTATAATCTAGTTCACCCTACTATTAGGTATATAGTATTTGTTATTTGATTTTTAGTACAAGAATTACTTAATTAATTTACCAACTTAAATATATCGAGTAAGTTAAATAGATTATTTCATTAAGAAATATTTTTATACAATTAAATACATTCGTACACACAAATATATCAATATTAGGTTTGAACTCACTAGATTAAGGTCTCAATAACATATACCATTCTAGTCCTAAATATAAGTAACATGGAAAAATTTTGGTATAAACATAAGTCACTTGAAGCATATTTAATGCCTATTTTTTAATTTTAATTTTATTTATTTTTTATTGAAAAGAGGAAAATAAATGAGATATATGAGAATGATTTATAAATATAGAGAAATAAAAATTTTTAATAAGAGCAATATTAAAAAAAATTTCAATTTAGTGAGTTATATTTATTGTAGATTATTTTGATTTTTTTTCCCCCTTTTGATGAGCCCTGTTTGGCTGTTTTTAAGGACGAGTAGTTTAGTTTCAAATGGTTGTGTCCGACAAGCTAGTCAAACAGTGGACGATGTTTGCCAAGTGTTCACTCTAACGTAAGTTGCTTGCTACTGTTTCTTTGGCCTCTGCTTCAAAACTGCCAGTTACGGGTGCCTTGGTAGCTGCAATTGCTTCTTCCTTATTTGGCTCCTCTTCACCTAATGTCAGCCATCGCTTCTCCGATCACTGCCGATGACGACGACTGTTCAGAAAGTCTGTTCTACGGTGCCGACGCCATTGACATTGCGTCCGATAAGTCCGATAAGGATCAGAAAGGTTTGTTCGTCGATGAATTTCTACTTTCTAGTGATTTTCGTTCTTAATTTTACTATTTTATATTTATTCTCTACCCTTTTTTGGGGTCTATAATCTTTACATGCTGTTCTGATCATTTTCTTGCATTATAAGTGTACTGGTAGAGATATGTGCGTGACGTGTGAAGGGTAGAAAGTAGTATGCATGAGTTGTTCAGCCAATAAAATTGAGTTTTGCATTACATCAGAAAAATGGAGAGTTCAGTGCGATATATGTGTTAGTGTTTTTCATTCTCAAAACCAATGAGATTAGTTGTATTAGACTTTTCTCTTAGTAGGAGATGCTAAAAAGAGGTAGAACTCGATAATAATCTCGAATTCTTCCACGTCTCAAATCAACTGAATTGATATACAAAGCAATTCTTAAATAGGCAGGTATATCCAAAGTCAACTATAATACTAATTTCACAAACTCAATTTTGAGTTTTGAGGTGGTAGAAAGCTAGCGGAGATGGAATCCATGAAGGGTGGACGATCGATCGACGAACCAACGGCAGAAGCAAATCAGACCCAAGTCAAAACCAACAGTAAGAAATGGAGTTGACAGGATTTTCATCAAAAGTTTATTTGCTTTCCTACTGCTGGCCTGAGCCTGAAGTTGAAGTTTATCAATCACTTCATCCCAAGATAATGCTTTCTTCTTGCATACATTCTAAATATTCCCAAGTCTTTCTCTCTAGGGCAATATGGAGAATCCGCCTTGATAATGTTAACTTCTTCATTCATATCAAATGGGCTATCTAGGGACTTGACTGTAAGTGTTTGATAGATTCATTGAGCTCCTCTTGGGCGTTTTCTTAATTGCCTGAATTCCAATAGATCTATTCCTCCCATTTTCTATAATTGTTTTGAACATGAAGCTACTGCGATTGTTGTTCAAGTTACTTGACTATTTTAGGAAAATAATGTGAGCTGTGCGCAACAAGATTTGATGAAAAATGGAGTGATATCTCCTTCCATGGTTTCAGAAGCACTTTTATGCAAAACGAGGCAAACTCCTCCACACATTTACTTGGTAAACCGTAAAAGCACTTCTAAAATCATGGTTTGGTTTCTATCCAAACACCCCCTTATTTTCACAATTAAGATTACCATCTTTCAAGATTCATATCCATATTGTTTATTCTTCCCAGCCTTGAACAGTAATAAAGATATAAATGCACAAAGACTTCTGAATTAGTACCCACAGATCTTACTTTCAGTCCCTTACTCATTTTCCTTACAGGGAGAAGGCTTTTCTTGATAAACTATTATGGAAGCCTAAAGCTCCTTCCAAGCTTAATTCCTTAATTTGGACAGCAATATTGAAGAGGATTATTGTAAACAGACTGTTACTGATTTGCAGAAAGCCAGGCACAATGTTGGTCTTTATACTGACTTCTGTATTTGTGGATCTGATTCTAAAACTTTCTCCCATTTATGTTGACATTGTCCTGCAGTGACATTGCTTTGGAATAAACCTAAATGGAGTTTTTGGATGAACACCTGAAACTTTGTCCAATTTATTTTTACATTGTCCGGCAGTGACTTCCACGTACCTTTGGAATACATTATTTAGTATTTTGGATGAACATCGGGTATACCCCAGTATATTGGAGCAGTTTCTCCTGATTCATCTCAAAAGTTTTTGCTACAAGAAAGAGAACTCATTGTATGGGGCCATGTACACCTTATGTAAGATATTATATCTTCTGCTGGATTATGTGCCACGTCTGCTATTGGCTGCTCTGAATTGGTATTCCTCTCTAACACGTGTTTTATTCTACAGTTTAGTACTCCATTATTATCTTGTAGGAGATAGTGAGGTACTATGATTGCAAGTCCCCATTTGGAGATGGTTATTTCCTTTTATATATTGATTGAGTTTCATCCTTTTATACTTTTCTTTATTGAAAAAGATTTGAGTTCAGTCATGAGGTCTGTGTGGACAGAAGGGAACTTGATACTAGTTTCACCTGCGGCAGGAAACCTTGAAGTGACCTCACCATCTTATTTGCCTCTTATGGAAAGGAATGCAACTATGGCTAAAGTTTCTGTTCCTTCATATAATGTGCCTACAATTAGAAAGAAAGATTGTAAACTGAAACGCAAACTTTCAAGTAGTCCAGAATCAAGAAAAAATCTGGATCTGGAAGATGATAAAAATCAGGGATTAGAAGATGATGTTGAAAATGCTGGATCCCTTTCACAGCAAAAAACCTTTGGAGGATGCAGTGAACCAAGTTGCAATTACACTTCCTATTTACGTGATGTCAATGAGGATATAATGCCTCGTTTGGTATGATAGAAGAGTTTTTGATGGAAGTGGAAGTGGAGGTAGAAGTGGAAGTGGAGGTGAATTCTAAAGTATGTTTGGTATGCCAATGGAAGTGAGATATAATTTGTAATAAAAATATCCATTTATAATGTGAAAAGACCTATATGCCCTTGACTGGAAAAAAAAGAAACCTCCCCCCAGTCCAAATTCTCAGTCGTGCCGTCAGCCCCCAGCCACCGTAGCAATCCACCATAACCACCGGCCACCACAAACACAAACATCATCCTCCATTTTTAACAACTATCAGCCATCAATAATCAATAGCAATTCAAAAAAAAAAAAAAAAGATTCAGAAGCAGAGCCTCAGAGGCATCGCCATAAAATAAGAGAAGAGGAAGACGACGAGGACGGAGAGTTTTGGGCAAATCACAATCTCTTTTTCATGGCTTCATGGTCGCGAGTCTGAATCAAATTGGATGATCGCGAGTCTGCACAACCTCTCCCTCACGAGGACGACAGCAGAAGATGGTTGCAACTCGCAAGTCTCCCTCACGGCTTCAGATCTGAGAAATCTGAAGCCATCACCGCCGTGAGGGAAAGGCTGGGAGACAAGGACGATGGCGGAAAATGATTACAGCTCCAATGCTTCATAGATCTGAAGTTGTCGCCTCCAACTATATGATGAATCTGCTGCCTCCTAATCTCAGATGAAGCCGTCGTCGCCTTCTACCTTTAGATCTGAAGTCGGCGGTGTCTTCAGCTGTGCTTCTTCATCATTATCACTGCTTCTCATGGACGTTTGTCGTCGCCGGAGGTTGCTAAAGGAGGTTGTCGAATGGTTTAGGAAGAAAGGAGGGTTATAATGTTAAGGGCAAACTTGTCAATAAATTATAAAATTGAGGATATGATGGTCTGAAAAAATTCACTTCCATGTAACTGGATGAGTTCCATGGGTCATAGGGTGGAAGTCGGTTCCAGCATTTTTGGTGGAAGTGAGTTCCCAGAGAATTGAGTTCCAGCACACCAAACAAACAAAAAGGTTGATTCCACTTCCACTTCCACTTCTCTCCTTCCAATTCCTTGCCACCAAACGAGGCATAAGTTCTGGGCCTTCCAGGTCAATGACAGATTTTGGAAAAGATGAAACAATCCACCTGCAGAGAGATTGCTTCGTTGAGAAGGTTAGTGGTGGTCAAAATCGTATAAAGCATATTAGGAAGTTGAACATGCAATCAGGAGATTCTATGAGCCCAATGACATCAAGGTTTGGTCATGCTCGTTTAATATGTCATATTACGTATACTCATTCTTGTGTGACTATAGCTCATTTTACATAGCAGAAGTAAGATCACTTTATTTCTGACTGTTAGCTTTTCCGGGCATCCTTCTCCTGACTTGAGGACCAGAGATGTATCTCTCTATGCTGAGATGAAAGTTGGAAACAAGCATCATGAAATCATATGTGCTATTTATGCCAAAGGATGGTGCATCAGGGGTAATTCTTGTAGTTTTCTTCATATAAAAGACCCTGAAAATAAATCCGGCCAGCAGATTGAAGGAGAATTGGTTACTCAGAATTGGAAGAGAGAAGTCCAACCAGAGGAAGGTACGTGAGGCAATTTTGTAGTAAGGTTGTTCAGGTGTCTGCCTTGTAAGCATCTTTCTAATGAAAATATTGTCCTGTGACAGGTACTGGAGATGATGTTAAGAGATCAAGGATGCCTTATACTCAAGTTCCGTTGGCTGCCACACAAGAAAGAACATTTCAGTATTCATCTGAATTTTCCTCAAACCCCATCATCCAGAAAGAAGTAAGCCCAAGCTGGCATCCAAATAAAAGCTGGTCTGTCTCCTCCTTCCCTTCCAGTCTAACCCATACAGAGGGAATGACTACCACTCAACGCCTAGACATGCATCATGGATATACATCCCAATTTGAGAGTCATTCACCTAATGTAAACATGGCTACTCACCTTCCAACTGCATGTATATCGCTGTCCCATCACATTCCTTCCCGATCAGGATGTTCATTGTCTTTTAGTGGATCCATAAGTGAAAGTTCTATGGATTCTCAACAACTTCTGAACAGTGGCATGGCTTGTCATGACAGAAGATCCCCTTTCTCTGGTTCAAAAAGGGAAGGTTTGGCTCTAAATGGTTCATTTGGGGTCCCACCACACCCAACTGGATGTACATTAAATTTCTCTTCATATGATTGGGAGCCGTCCATACCTTTCAAACCATCTTTTTTTATTACTTCTTCAGGTAGATCATCTGTTGAAGATCAAAAAGACCCTTTTGACATTATTGTTGAGATACCCAATACAGGGGATGAATCCTTGAAGGCTTTCATTTTATTTCAAAGAACATCCATTCGGACTTCATCTCAGGTTCCTACAAATGGTGAGTCTGTTGAAGCTGCAAATCGGGGTTCAGATCTTCGTGGTGCCAAAAGTTCTGTATCTTCTCATCATAGATGTAATAAAACAGAACCAGAGAAGAATTGTGTTCCTCATGAAAAAAGTTTTGTTACAGCTGAAGCAGATACAATGGCAGCAACATATCTAAATTGCCAATTTTGAAGGGTTGGTATAGGGCTAAATCCCTTTGAAGAGGTTAAAAGTATAGGAAAAGAACAAACTGAGCGTGATGCTAGATCTCAAGTTGAGGTAACAGTACAAAAAACAGAAAGTAGATAGGGGTAAGAAAAACAGTGAAATGGATAATAATCTTCAGAAGGATGCTGGCGTGCAGATAGAATCAATGGAACTGAGAAATTTCAGTTTCGCACTTGTTGATCATGTGAAAGAGATTTTAAGACCAGTTTGGCTCGAGGGTCACCTCAGCAAGGATGCACATAACATGATTGTTAAAAATCAGTTGACAAGATTATTAACACCCTATAGCCTCAGCAAATTCCGCCAAATGAGGATTCTATCAAGAAGTGCCTTTCTTTTTGTCAGGTGAAAATTCTAAATCTGGTCAAGGTAAGTGTCTTTTTTTCTTTAGATAGTATTGTTGATGGGATGTGAATGAACGTCACTTTGATATTTTACGAGCATTTTTTTTTTATTTGCAGGGATATACCAGTATAGATGGGAAGGTTCGGTATTTTCACCTATGTGCCTTTTTTGTACACTTCGCTAGCATTATGTAACATCCAAATATATGTAAACTTTTATCTCATGGACTCGAAAAGAGAGGCTTTTATCTATAAGGTCATCCGTTTGATAGTCAAGTTTGTAAGACCGTTGCTCAGTTGCTCGTTCCATTACAGAGTAAAATTGCAGGGATTGGATATAAGTGCTATGGAAGTTAGATGATAGATTTGTAATCTTTCATCTACTTCTTGACTCTCTAGCATATGAATAGAATGCTGATAGACAATTCGAATTAGTGTGGCATTTATGATTTATCGTAGTCTTAAGATAATTAGAATTTGTGATGAAAAGCATCTAGATAGTTTGTTACATATCACCGTCTTATGACGAAGTGTTTCGAAATTCACGATATATTAGACTCAGATTGTGAGGATTCGTAGCATAAACTGACTTATACAGTAGGCTAATCATATGTCAGGCTAGCTTTCTTGAGTTTTTCAATGGTACATCTTAGTTCTTTCAGTTTTCAAGGATTTATCTTTGGGTTCATGCTATTCTTAACATATTGGAAGGTGGAAGAGGGATCTTTTGTCATCATTATGGGAGATTGTGTTAGATCATTCCATTAGAGTGGTCAGGCTTTTATAGTTTTATGGGTTTGGATGAGCCTGTTATCTACATGAAATTTAATTAAAAGCTAACTACCTGGCATACTAGCTTAAGCCTGTGGGGACTACACCTGAGTGAGTTGAGTTTAAATACAATATTTAGAGGATATATAACAATTTGGTTAGTATAATTAGGTTTTCAGTTTTAATTATTGTTTCCTAGCGTACATTTTGTCCTGTTTGTGATACGAAAAATTGCTGAGCTTCGCAGACTAGATTATGGTGCTCTTCTCCCGTAATATTATATATATATATATGTGTATGATCGACCCTGTAATATGTACATTTCATGGAAGTAAAGAGAGAATGTGCATGTGCTGATGAATAAGAATAGTATCATTATTGTTCAATATTTCCTTTTCTAAGTTATTTCAGGAACTGATTATTTCATTTATTCCTATGATTTGGGTATGCTTCTCAAATCTCAATCTTACGTGTTGATTGTTAACCCTGAATACAGATTGTGTTACCCACTGACAATTTAATTAATATTGGAACTATTGAGAGTCAAATTAAATGAGAAATAAATGAAGTAGGAAAAGCCTTGAAAAAACCAGTAATCAGAAGCTCATTTAATATAACATCTCTCTCTCTCTCTCTCTCTCTCTCTCTCACACACACACACAAACTCTTAGTGATTAATAGAAAGAATACCCATTTACAAGAAGCCTTATTCCCGATCTTATTGCATATGAAACTACTCCTGGACTAGAAAAGTCGATTTCTTTCTGATAGAAAGGTCTAGAAATAAAGAGAAATGAATGCATATATAGAGAATTATAAACCTTCATGTCACTGAACTTTGACTTGGCTCAGAGGCGTGGCAGATCCTGCATGGTGACACCAAAGTCTTGAAAAACTTCCCACCAGAAGAAGACTTGTTTCCTGGTCTTCTTCCTTTCTCAACTCCATCAAATTTCCTTCTATTCCCAGAGCCTACTCTCTGGCCATTGCCATGATGGGCTGATAATAATGAACTCAAGGATGATGTGTGATGATGACGATCATCTGTGCGATTTGATTGAAATGAAATGGTTTGTGGCTGAAGTTGCTCAATGGGAATTAGCAGATTAGCAGGCTTTGGCTTAGTGTTCACTGAGTTTGCTGCTGCAGATTTTGGGGTTGGTTTAGTCACAATAAACTCAAATTCTGGGCTCTGATTTGTGGTATGATCATGTTGTTTAGTCTGGTTTTGAGGAACAGAAGGTGATTTGGATTGCTTGTCTTGAATGGAGACGAGGCCACTGAAAGAGAGTGAGTCTGATAAAATGTTATCAGCAGCAAGAAAATATGAAGGAGGCTTGCTTCCATTGAAGGTTCCCATGGATTAGGGATTTGTGATCAAATTGGCCATGTGGGTTGAAACTTTTATACGTAGAAAGAGGCTGCAAGTTTAAAGCATCTTTTGATCCTTTTGGTTCGTCCAACAGGTCCTTTTGCTTTGATTTTTTTTTTTTTTGGTTTGTGTTTTTGGCCGACTTAAAGATATTCCTTTTTCCGGCTTTTGATTATTTTTAATTTAGCCAGTTTTGAAAAACCACTGTAGATTTGAATCGAGCCGAGTGTATAAAGTTCCCTTGGCAGTAATCTTCCTAACAAGTGTTGAGCCGCTTTAATTAATTGCCATGTGTTACTCTTAGGTTACATTTGGTATGAAGTATTGAAAATAAAGGATTAGGATAGGGGTTAGGGTGGAAAACATATGTTAAAAAGATACTAAGCATGAGTGATTTCTTATCACATGGAATTAATCAATTTCATATAGATAAGATTGAAGAACACTACCTCCCCTCACAGTATTTCCCAATCCCATATATATGGGTTTGTCTAATTCCAAGTATCATATAATTACTCATGCTAAACATCTTTTTAATATAGTTTTACACTTTCAATCTCAATCCCTATCTCTTATTTTTAATGCTTCGTACGAAATGAGACCTTAACTATTTTTCATCTTCCCTTGTAATGGATTGCACAATTTTCACTGGTTTAATTTCATTTTTTTCATTTTAAGACTAAACTATAGAATAAAATAATTTATTAACTATATGTCAACTTGAAAATTGATTATAATTTCTTCAAAAAAAGATTGGATTTTATAATTTGTTTTGCCAACCATCCACAACATGACTACGAACGTGATCTTGTGTATGGACGTCCCGTGCATTTTCCTTGCGTGAATACCAAATCTAGATTTAAGAAACAATGATATACTTATTACACAATAATTAATTGTTTAATGCAAGGCATTTAAAATTCTTACATTCCAATTTTTTTTTTTGGGTAATAAGTATCTAAGTGGGTTAGCTACCGAAGTGGGAAAATTAACTCACTTAAATATTCTATTGAGCATCTCATATTACTCAATATGCCAAGTCATATTACCGAATCTGAATAATACCAATCACATTGAAATACATTCCCAATTCAAGTTTCAGTGCGTTAATGATCACATAAATAACTTTACTATAATCCTTAGTAAAAACGCATACAATTCTTTAATCTAATTTGTACCTCCTCAAACATATGTTTGTGTGTGCGTAATGTCAATATCTATTTAAAAAGTCTCATATATAATAGATGCCTTCTTAGATTTAAACTTGCAATCATTTGACCCCTAAGTTGAATGTGGTTTGGAGATTGGTGGATATTACAAAGGAAGAGTAATATAAAACAAACCAAACCCTTTGTCAATGTCATTTTCAAATCTCAATCAACTTACAATGATACGAATCCATTAACTTCAATTTTTTTTTGTTTTTTCTGATAATTTGTTTAACCGGCGCGCTGATCCTACGAGGTTTGTTCTCAGGTAGGTAAAGAAAACTTATATATTTAATATAAAATATAAAATTTATCATGTGGCACATTATTTTGAAGAAATGAAAAGTATATGATTTATTAAATCCTGTGTAATGCAGGAAAAATCATGTGATAGTTATATTTTAACAACGTAATGTAAATCTTAAAAAGCTTAAGGGGGTATTTGGATAAAAATAAAACCATAGTTTCAAAAATGATTTGACAGTATATAGAGTAAATATATAGAAGAGTTGATCTCGATTTGCGAAAAAAAATTTTAGAAAGCACTTTTAGACAAATTCAAACACCCCCTAAGTAATCTTTGAAAGTTGTAATTAAGTTTTTTAAAGCACAAAGTTACACACTTATTCTAAAGTTTTATGAGACTTATCATTACATTTTAAGAATTAATGGTTAACTTGAGGGAAATAACTATAAATTCATTCAGAATTACAGATATTCTGAAACTCTATAATGCAGTAAAAATTTCATAAAAATCTATTCATAAGCTCTTAAAATTTGATCATCATAAATTTGACTGTGTATTGAATGTATTGAAGATACTTTAGTTTGTCATAATTAGATTTTTAAGACCTTAATCTTTATGCTCTTAATCTATGAATAGCATGACTTACAATAAATTTTATATTCTATCTTGATATATCAATTAGTGTGTCAGAGTGTGCGTATCATATATTTATAGGAAAATTTGATATGAGTTATATACAACCTATAAAGTGTGTGGTTTCGAACAACTTTTTATATAAATTTTAATATTAATATTGATTGATCTTTCTATCGATATAAAGGGGACTAGAGATTTTATGCTTCTAACCCAGTAAAATCGATCAGTTTAATGTGTGTGTAACACCGACGGCTGTGTTGAACAAAAAGGCAAGGAGTCCAATTATGAGTGTGATTTTAATAATGTGATGATAATCTTCCAGAAAGAGAGTATATGTTTAGTTCATAACGAAGATATCCAGCAATTTATTCTTTTAAATATAAAGAATAAATTATTGTGTTTTGGAGCCAACTTGATTTTTATGTATAGATCATCCCAATCCAATTAAATCCGGTTTAAAAAATTTCAAGACTGACAAAACTTATTAACACAAAGCATATTGAAAATCTATTTATATATATGGGGTTAAGATTTATCTAGTACTCTAAAGTATTTTTTTTTAATGTATGTCCAATATTTTAAAGTATTTTGTTATTTATCTAACATCTCAAATATTTTTTTCAGATGCATCCAACACTTTATAGTATTTTATGATTTATCTAGCACTTTAAAAAATGTGTTCAATACTCTAAAATATTTTATGATTTAATTTTTCTCATAGTGTATTGAAATGCTAGGTGTATCTAGATGTTAGATAAAATATAAAATACTTTAGAATGCTAAACGCAGTTAAAAAAATATTTTAGAATGTTGGATAAGCCTTAACCATTTTTATACTGTAAAATACTTAGGTGACTTGAGTCATATAGTTTTAACAAAGACGGGGTATATTTAAAAAATGCTTATTAGTTATTATCAAAAGAAGAATTGAGATTCACGTTTTTGTAGAAGGAGAGTGAAAATTTATTTCAACATAGGACCTCAAGAAACATGCATGAAATTTAAAAAAGAAGCTTATATATATTGATGTGTTGATATATCTATGATTCTATTTTATTTAAGGTTAAATGACTTACAAATATTCATTTTACGATTTTTACCATGATTTATGCGCGTCTTAGACCACCTCTCAATAGTGACGGCCAAATTGTGCTTTGGAATTCTCATTCTCTTTGAATTATTCTAACTTTAAAAAAATTATTTTAAAGTCATAAAAAAGGATTTAAGACTAGCTCAAAATTTTTTATTTTATATGTTTTTTCATGCACTCGATTGTACCAAAACATACTATGAGCTTAAATATCAAATTAATATGAACCATTAAAACTGTAAAAGAGACATTATTCTGAATATTGAACATATATATCTGCCTGGCATGTGAACATTAGTGCAACTAAATAATTTTTTATATTTTATATTGAATGAATCATGTCGTAGATTGATCGTTATACAATATATAAGTTAAAAAAAAAAAGGTTTTCGACACAATATCATTTATGATATATATTATGTTTCTGCAAGATGATATTTCATGAAGATTGAAGAGGTAATGGCCCCGTTTGGCCCTTCATAGGTCTGAGAGAGGCTCTAAAATATGAATATTCTTGGCACTAAATAAGAGAAAGTAATTAAGCAACGCAAGATCGAACGAAGTAATAATAATTGGCATCAATAAATTTATGGTTCTACAAATTATAATAAATTTTTATTAACTCAAGAACCTCGTCGTGAGGCACAGTTTTAAAATTATCTATATATGTAGCTAATCCGTGTGTATCATGTAGAAGCTCTAACAAATTGTTATATTAATGAATTATAAATATTATATGATTTTTTTAAGGATAAGTTTATGCAACACATAGGATAAGCAAAAGCAATATATATATATATATATAAACATTCTAATATATATATATATATATGATTTTGTAAGATGCATCTATATGAAGTGGAAGCGACAATTATTGAACTTAAAATCATGCCGTAATTCTCACAAATCTGTTTCTCTTCCTTAACATTTCTTCTTTATGTAAATGTAAAATAAAATAATTGAAAAGCAAATCAGCAACAAACGTCTTTATCATGCAATTCTCTCCATTACTTATATTGATATGTATTTCCCCTTGCCAACAAAAATCGTAAATTAATCTACACACACACACACACATGCAAGAACCCATAACATAAATTCAGCCAGCACCTAATTATTGAGCATGGAGACACAAGATTCCATCAACCAACACATTCTAAATTCAAGTCCAATCAACAAGAAAATCATACTCAAATTCATTAAAAAATGTCTATCCAATCGACCCACAGCAATTTTTTTTTTAATGTAAAGGCAAGATGATATTAAGTAAAAGTTCAAAATATAATAATAGAAGAAGAGCATAAACTAGAATTAAAAAAATGTCATAAAAGAAGCTGAACTAATATTTCCTATGAAAACAGAACCAAAAAGGAAAAAAAATGCGAATAGAAGATATCCTTCAAGACGTTGCTGTAAGAGGCTCGTTCATATTGCTCAAGCTTCAAAGTTTTTCCTTTGACCCAATAAAATGCTAGTCTCAAATATAATGGAATGAAAAGTTTTGGTTCCACTTCCTGGTTACCATGAGAGTCTAAATAGGATTGCTATAAAGTAATATAATAACTAAACAACTGATCTGATCCTTCTTTTTCTTCTTCTAAAGAATAATATTCCATTCACCATTTAATGTTATATTTTGAGATTGAAGAGGACTTTTTGCTTTCATCAATGGGTCAAATTAATTGCCTTAGTATTCCACACTCAAATCCAAACTAAACCCAACCTGAACCTCCATACAAAATTGCAAAATGGAAAAGAGTAAGAGAGATTAAAGAAATGGGCATCTTAATTAATCTAATTTGCAAGCAAAGTGCATGAAAGCTAACCCAAGCCTTCACCCATGGCACCATCAAACTACCATTCTATTTCTATTTACAAGTCAATTTCTAATAATTTATGTCGAAGTTAAGAAAAATATTAAATTTTACTCATTTCATTTTAAAATTTAATAATTTTTCAGTTTTACGCCTATTTAATATTGTACACTCTACACAATAATAAAATAAAGGCTAAAATTATACACTCATGTGAAACATTTAATTATGTAAATTATAAATAGGATAAAAAAAATTTTCTTTGTCTTGAAAATAGGTTCAAAGGAGTACTTAGCATTCCATGTGAAAAGAAAAAAAAAATTGGAAAAAGATCAAGAAGAAGATAGGACGAGAGAGTATGAAAGAGTAAGGAGGGCTTGTGTTTAGTCTTTGGAGAAATATGGACCTTGGAAGATCAAAAGAATCAGTAAGAAAATAGAAAATTTAGACGAAGGTAAAACTTCTGATTTATCTTCTTGGTGCGGGTTTGCCCAAATTGCCCTCGAACATGTCTTCTATTGGCTGAGTGATATCCTTCAATGGCCAAAACGCTACTATGGCATATTAAAATAAAGTTAGATAACTTGTTGGATCTAGCCGAAGGAATTAATTTCTAAAAACTAAAATTTGAATTCTACTATAAAAGATGCTTATATTTAGTGTTCCATAGTGACTTAACTAAGCTTCAATAAAACAATACATGTGTCCCACAAAAAAAACATGTTTTGTGATTTTGAGCCCTGCTTTAATTTCCCAATTTCCCATGACACCCCACACCAAGAAAAATTCCCCCATTTTTGTGAGACAAGTGTGTGAGATAATTATCACTCCATATCCTTATATTACTAGAACATTCTAAAACGACCATGGTTTGGCTTTGATACTTGATGCTAGTTTAGAGGCTCTGAGTTAAATTATTGGGAGAGAAGAGGAAAAAGAGAAGAACCTATTATTAACGTACATCAATGTCCTCATCATGACATAATATATGTGTGTGTGTGTGTGTGTGTGTGTGTGTGTGTGTTATGTATGACATAAGATATGTATGTTATGTATGTGTATATAATTCAGGGGAGTTCCTTAAAGTGAAACAGCATATAGAGAAGCCACGAAGTAGAGTGAAGGGAGGAGAGAGGGAACATTGAACCAGAAGCAAGAGAGCCTTCATCAATGGCGTCTTCTCTGAACGAATCATCTCCATACAATAAATTTGAGATAAGGAGGAGGAATCCAGACCCTAAATCATGTGCCCTTTTGGTCATTGACATGCAAAACTGTTTTTCTTCCATAGCCAAGCCTATCCTCTCCAACCTCGCCACCACAGTCCATCTCTGCCGGAACGCTTCCATCCCCGTCATCTTCACCCGCCACTGCCACAAGTCCCCCGCTGACTACGGCATGCTCAGTGAGTGGTGGAACGACAACCTCGTCCTCGACGGCACACCGGAGGCGGAGCTTATACCAACACTTGATCGGAAGCCGGAGGATATGGTGGTGGAGAAGAACACTTACGGCGCATTTAGAAACACTCAGTTGGAGGAGAAGCTTGTGGAGATGGGAGTAAAAGAGGTGATTGTGACGGGCGTGTTTACGAACCAGTGCTGCGAGATGACGGCGCGGGAGGCTTTCGTGAGAGGGTTTAGGGTTTTCTTCTCTGCGGACGCCACCGCGACGTCAGATTCGGAGCTCCAAGAGGCCACTTTGAAGAATATGGCTTTTGGGTTTGCTTATTTGGTAGATTGTCAAAGGCTTCGACATGCTCTCTCCATAAAATAAAGCCTTCAAAGACATTTCTGTAACAGTGCCGTGGTTTCTATCTCAATATGAAGCTACTCATTTTATCAGTTCACGCTTTGGTTTTTTTTCCCTTGCATTGTAGGTTTATGGTTTCAGTTGACTTTCTTGTGTTTTTTAGTGTCACATCCTCAAGCCAAGGCTTTGCAATATGAAGATTCATGAAGCTCCCTTTTGGCTTCACGCCCAGGTTTCCAAGTACTGGAATGCTTTGTGTTTGTCTTAGTAATACTTTAGTGAGCTTCGACGTGTCTTACAATTTCTAGGTTCTAGTACTGAAGTCCCGCAATATGTATTGCTTTACTTTATCTTAAATCATAGTCTTTCTATAAAAATAAATAAATTTCTTTCTCTCTCCAAAAGAATTTTTGGATTCCTGATAACTCTCCTCATGGAAACAAATTGGATCGTGGCGCTTAGTTACTAGCTGTATGTTAGATTCATATGAGATGCAATGGAAAGCATCGAATCTTTTAGGAGTACTGCCAATCGAAAATTGAAGAGGAACCGTTTACCTTGACTGAATTTAAGCCTAATCATTGGCATTTTGGTCTTTTTACATGGTCGAAAATGGAAGTATATTTCTCATGCTGACGCCTATGAGAAACTGGGTCTGCACTCTGGTTGGATCAAATGGTGTATAAATTATTTTAAATTCTTAAAAACGGATTTAAGACTATGCTCAAAATTTATTATTTAAATTTGCATCTCTTTTTCAAGGGGAAAAAAACTGGATCGGAGCTAAACCAGTTAGGGTAGTAATTTCAGAGTGAGTTGGCTAGACCAGGATCAACTTGTGTTAAACCAATCATATTAAAATGATATAATTAAATGAAATATAATAATATTAATAATTATTAATAACAAAATACAAAAAAACATAACAATGTTTGATCGTAACAATAACAAAATACAATAACATTAAAAATTTTAATATCTATGATTCATCAATAACTAAAATTAATAATTATTGATGCTAAAATCGTCATAAAAATCCATTCAAATCTATAGTAACCCATATTCTAAGAGCTGAATGAGAGGGGGAAAATGGACCATTAGCAACATAATTGTTTAAGCCGGTTCATCAACAGTTTTCACTAGTTTACCCTCAGTTTCATTGATTTGATACTGTTTCAATTTCTACCCAATTCAACAACCAAACCAAACCGGACTACTGACTGGTTCATTGGTTGAACCAACCAATTCAATTAGGTTTTTTTTTCCCTTGCTCTTTTTATGCTTCTGATTATACTGAAACATGCTTAGCTTAAAATGTCAAATTAATTAACAAGGAACTATTAAATCTGTGCTACTATATGTTCTGAATATTGAATATGTATGGCTTGTGAACACCGTAGCTTCTCCATAACGTTAGATGATGAATCTTTGTCCAACTGAGACGTTCAATAACCTAGAGAGAAAGGCAAGGGGCCTTTAATGCACATTCTCTAATGCCTCTTTTGGTACTTTAAGCTCCCAAATGTTTTTTTTTTAATTGATCATTAGATTCTAAATAAAATAAGGCCGAAAGGAGCTGGTAGAATCAGCCACATTAACAGCATTTTTTGGGATTTTGTTTTTAAGGGTTCAGGTTCAAATTCATTCATAAAGTATAAGTTTTCAATGGTCATGATATTTTTGCACAATGTTAATTGCTTGACTGGAAGCCGGTGCTGGAGGGAGACAATCTCGATGAGAAGATACGTGAGAACAGAAATAACACAAAGTGGGGTGGACCTAGACGGAAACAAAAGCAACTATGAAGGCAAGCATCTAGATGGAACCACGTATGGATCTGGAGGAAACCAGAAACGAATTGCGAATGCAAGAATCTGGATAGAACTAGGCATGGATCTGGACGTGGCGCTGGGAAAATTGGCTAGCTCTTCACAGACCGCAGGCTTAAACAGACCAGTCTGTTTGGGCATCTGTTTGAAAAAGTATCCATTTTATAATGCCTGGCCCTTATATAAGCAAGCTTGGGTTGGCCTATAGCCTTTTGACATGTTTAAATTTTTTTTATTTGTTATATATTTTGATATGCATAAAAGTAAAATAATAAACCTCATAAAATTTAAATTTTCGAGTCATTAATATTAGTAAAACAAAATACTAAATTGTTGTTCAAAACTAAACCAAAGCAAGTCATTATCCTAAACAGGATACAAAGTACAAACTAACAATAATGGCAACATCATCAACATGACACTACAAAAAAAACACACATTTACTGACAGAATTACCCACGGAATCATTGACGAAAGTCAAAATTAATGACGGAATTGCTGACGAATTTGCGACGGACAAGAATTACCGATGGAATGGATTCCATCGGAATTTTTCCTTCACTAAATCTATTTGCAATGAAATTCCAAATTTTGTCGATAATTTTTGAAGGAATTTCCGTTAGAAAATACCGACAGATTTTCAATGGGTTGTCTCCGTCCCAAATTTTGTGAGGCCAGCCATAAAATTTGTCATGAAATATTCTGTGGCTAATCAGCCATGGAGTTGCCCACAGAATATTCTGTGGCTAATCAGCCACAGAACACAGAATATTTTGTGGCTAATAAGCCACGGAATATTCAGTGACAAATTCCGTGACAAAATTGCCAAAAATTCCACAGATTTTCGTTAATAATTTTGTGTCAAATTTGCCAAATTTGATTTTTTTTTTTTAATTTTGTGCTATTCTAATTTGATCAATCATTTTTTAAGCGGGAATGAAAGACAATTGAATTTGTCAAAAAATCAAACATGCTATAATTAAAGATATATAGTCTTTCACACACCTAAAATGCTTCAAATGTCAAATGTCAAGTGTGAAGTAAAAGCTAGAAACAATAATAACAACAGTCAACTATCATTTCCTAAATTTATATTGCTGCTAGAGGGCTCAGATAGTCTAATTCCCATTCCTTCCAATGCAGACATGATTTTGTTATAATTTTGTCTCATCTCTTGATGCTCTTGTCTAATTTGTTGATTCTCCTGTGTAAACTCTGTTATCCTCGTGCGCAATTCAGGTTCAATACTAGTATTGATACTTGTGCTGTTAATGGAAGGAGAAGACCTCTGGGTACAAATATCATCATCAGCCTCAAACCCAAATCCATAGATGCGGCCCTTCTTCTTCTTACCACCTATAACATCTAACCATATGTTAAATTCTTCTTAATTAGATTGCACACTTGGAGAGCCTCTTTCAGAACTTAGTTCTACCTTTCTTCTCATGAACTCAGCCTATAAAACAAAAAGATAACAGGAGCATATGAGATAAGTGCATGTTATGGAAGGCAAGATTCTTCTCAACTTAATCCCAACAACAACCAGATTAAGTCAAGTCCAAAAATAAAATTGCACTAAGAATAAGAAAAGATACCATAATTCATTAATTTCCAGCATATGATGACATATTCATCAATTCTATCAAATTGAACAATATGGGAACGTAACCCAAGTTCAACAACAAAGCAAAATAGATTGGAGAATAGCATGTGTATAAGTTATATAACTTATAACAAATAAGAAGCAAAATTTTTTTGCCTAACACTAGAATGCTCTTAGACAGTTAGCATAATCTAATTGATTTTTTATGCTTAACATTCAATAAGACTCACACTACAACTAGTCAGGCCTCTGGCCGTTAGCACAATTTCAATGATCCAATATGTCAAATATTAGAAACACATACTCACATGAGCTAATTCCGCTCATCGGTCTGCAAGTTTTCCAATTTTGTCATTTAAATATGTCCTCTTGAACAATTCAAACATAGAAGGGTCCCCTCCTAACTCCAAAGCCTACAATTATTTACCAAGATGTATTATACATGCATTAAATGAAGAATAATTTAATTTGAAGATAAATTTTTACCAGTCTCCTCTTATGCTCAGTATTAGGAATACTTCCACCTTTGTGTTGAGTGCCTTCTGTAGTTGAGGCTCAATTAGCCTTAGCAATTTCACACTTAGCCTTGGAACCTTCTGATGCCCATATTCTCTCTAACTCAGTCATCACTTGACATGAAATCCACTTAGCCCTAACTTGTTTTTGATACAAGTCTTGCCTAACAATGTGCATTGTATTTCTTAAAATTTTTGCACACTTTGCATTCCAAATTTTCTTAATAGCATGATTATATTGTGGCAACCATTATATTTTTCTGCATAAATGAGAAACAAAAGAAAAATATAAATTAAACATGTTGAGAGGAAAAATTTGAAGACATAAAACAAATACAAGTACAAATAAGATTTACCGCCCATTCATCGAACCACATTTTCTTATATCCAACGATGTCGCTTGCCAGTTGGAACATGGATGGTCAAATTTCTCTTGAATAACAAGAAGAATATTTTGTATAATAGCAACAACAAGATTAAACTTAATAACAATTTTATACAAAATATCATTATAAACATTGTTAGAATGGCATTAATATAATAAATAAAGATGTGAAATAATATAAATTTAATGGTGACTTACGTTTTCTTCTCAGGATATATCCATGTTCGACCATCTGAAGAATCATAACCTAATGGTGAAAAACTAGGAGGGGCCGAAGGAGTGGGGGGATACGAATTTTCAGTTCCAAGATATGAGATTTGAGGAGATGATACTTGAGGTGATAATGAGAGTCTATTATATGACTGAGTCACAACTGGAGATAATTCGTGGGATGATAAGGGTCTGCTATATTCTTTATTTATAGCTGGAGACCTAGTATATGCTTCACCCATAGGTAGAGAAGATGCTTGAACAGGAAATTTTTTGAGTTGGTCAGATAATTGTGGAGAAGATGAAGAGCTCAAGTGTGCTCTATCACGTTTTGAACCATGACCTGCCATATCTAAACTCTTTGTCTCTGCAGTTGCAGCCTTAAATTGACGTTAATAATAAAAGGTTCATATATAGTTGAAAAACATGGGTTGAAAAAAAAAAACACTCAAATTGCTTTATATAATCAATCACTGCAATGTTTAATATCATCAAATCCAGTTTCACAATCACATCAAATTTTCCTAAACATGCTTTTTCTCTTCGTCAATTTAAACAATGTCTCCTAAGGATTAATATGTTGTCTTTAGTCTAATTGGCCATAAATATATATAATTGTTTTTTTATAAAGTAAAGGAAATTTTGATCTTGATTCATTCCAAATTTCGACGTTGCTGATTATATGTCTAAGTAAAAAGTTCTGACTCAGAGCTGGAAAAGCAGTATCTTTTCATTACATTATAACAGGGATGCAAAAATAATAGTAATGAGCCGTATAAATCAGTGATTTTAGCTAACTGCAGACTAATATAGCCAAATAATTTGTGTGTGTGTGTCTTTTAGAGTTAATTTAAAACAATAGGAATTAGCTTAAAATTATTAGGATATTATTTGTGTGAGAACGCATTTGAGGGGAAAAGTTGAAATAATGTTAAACTCGAAGACACACTGTTAGTCGGAAGAAAGATGCTCTAAGATAAGAAGAATATTAGTCATTCATAGCAATTGCTCTGACTTTAATCCTACAAAGTCATGGGGGTGGGGCATAGAATCAGATTGGCATTAATTAAGAAAACAGAAAGCCTTCTCAAGACTAAGCAACAGTCAACATGACATATGTGATCAATATGGCTTTTTTACCAATATACGATAAATAGGAAAATTATATACCAAAATGCTACACTTTTGAAACTATTTACCAATATACTGCACTTAAAATCATTCTTGGCAAGAATGATTTTAAAATTACACACAAGTCGTTCTTGGCATGAACGATTTCAGAAATCGTTCACGCCAAGAACGATTTTACTTTTTCCTGTCCACTCTCTCGCATACGAATCTCTGTCAATTTTACATGCAATACTAAGAATCCTTGACAATGCTCCCATGAGGCTACAACGTCTATATTGCATTAAAATTTGAAAATCCCAATTTTTTTAATTTTTTAAATAGAGCGTGATGAAATTTTCTGTCATTTCCTCTTCTTTTTATTTTTCTCATACCAAACAATACGTAAAAAAAAAACTTATGCTTTGATTGTAAATTTTTAATTGTAGCAATTAAGTTGTATGACTAAATTATTATTATTATTATTTTGGTCACAGGCATAAAAGGTCCATGCCCAATACTTAATTTCTCATCAAACCGAACAAATGCCACACGACAGGCTTTTTTACCAAAGTACTACAAAAAGTAAAATTATATACTAATATGCTGCACTTTTAAAAATATTTACTAATATGCTACACTTAAAATTGTTCTTCAGGTGAATAATTTTTAAAGTCATTTATCTGCTGAACAATTTCTTCATAATCTATCCTTGATGTGCATGAAAGCTTGTGTGGCATTTATTTGCACTTAAAATTATTCTTGGTAAGAATGACTTTCAAATTACACACAAGTCGTTTTTGACGTGAACGATTTTAGAAATCGTTCTTGCCGTAAACATTTGTTAAACGAAGAAGTCGTTCAGCAAATAAATGACTTTAAAAATTATTCACCTGAAAAACGATTTTAAGTGTAGCATATTAGTAAATACTTTTTAAAATGCAACATATTAGTATATGATTTTACTCTTTGTAGTATTTTGGTAAAAAAAAAGCCAGTTGTGTGGCATTTGTTCGGTTTGATGAGAAATCAATTATTGGACATGGACCTTTTATGCCTGTGACTAAAGTAATAATAATAATAATTTAGTCCTACAGCTTAATCGCTACAATTAAACATTTACAATCAAAGCATGATTTTTTTTGGTTACGTATTGTTTGATATGAGAAAAATAAAAAGAAGAGGAAATGATAGAAAATTTCATCAAACTCTATTTAAATGATAGAAAATTTCATCAAACTCTATTTAAAAAATTAAAAAAAAATTGGGATTTTCAAATTTTAATCCAATATATATGTTGTAGCCTCATGGGAGCATTGTCAAGGATTCTTATTTTTGCATGTAAAATTGGCAGAGATTCGTATGTGAGAGAGTGAACAGAAAAAAGTAAAATCGTTCTTGGCGTGAACGATTTCTGAAATCATTACCGCCAAGAACGACTTGTGTATAATTTTAAAATCGTTCTTGCCAAGAACGATTTTAAGTGCAGCATATTGGTAAATAGTTTCAAAAGTGCAGCATTTTGGTATATACTTTTACTGTTTATCATATATTGGTAAAAAAGCCGATCAATATTTGTGTGTGTGTTTATGGCACAATTACTCTAACCATAGGTATAGCTTTTATGCTTGTAGTCCCAAGATTCATAAAACAATGTCTAAGTAGGCAACAGTGACTATAAAAGAAAGATAACAAAGACCCAAAATAATAAGAAAACCTAAGTGGCAAATGCATTCACGACATATGTGATCAATATTTGATGATTTAAAACCAAAAAAACTTGTTCAGATGTCAGCTTTTGATCCGTTGTTTAATATCTAGGGACACTAGAGTAGCTGCTTCTCTTAAGAGTAGCTTCCCCACTCTATGAAGGGTTATCCCAATTCCTCATGAATCTTCTCTTCTTCCCTCTGTTTTTTATATCTTGACAAGAATCATCAAACACACAAAATCACTCAAGTTTCTCACAGAATCATAGGGCATAGATTCTCAGCCTCAGAAGTCTCTCTGGCTATTATAAGAGAAGACTTCTGTTCAGTTCCATCACTGACATTTTAGAATTTTTTTCTAAAATTGCACACCACAACATTCAGCAAAATAGATCCCACAACCAACAAAAAAATTGTATAACTTACCTTGGAGGACAAAGGTTGTGACAAGAAGAGAATTGCTGGTCTTAAAACAAGAAAAGGTCCCGTAGCTACTATAGATAAACTCCCACAACCAACAAGAAATAGAGATATGAAATTATTAGAAATTGAACGAAGAAGCAAGATTAGGGGACCAAAAACCATATATATAACTCACCTAAAAGGGACAATGGTTGCAATGACAAGCAAAATGCTGGTCACCAAAGACTAAAGCATGAATAGTGACCTGAGCTTAAAAAGCATTCCCCTGGAGCCTGAACCTCGTGACTTCATACCTCAATCCCAACCGCATTCGATCTATACTTCTTCTTCTTCCCCGGTGATGATGCCTCTGTCGTTAAAGCACTCAATTAAACTAGGTCCCAATTAATTTGTAGTTCAGGATCGACCTAGGTCATTACTTCCAAGGAGCAATTTATGGGTTTCTTTAGATAAAAATTCAGGTGATGAAAAAAATGCAATAAATTGGACCTAAACTAAAATGCAAAATTCTAATTCTAAATGCAGGATGCAAATATCCTAAAATCCATATGAAAATTAAATTAAACTAAATGAATGCAATGTAATTTTTGGGGGGTTTTTTGAAGGAAAATAAAAATAATGAATAAAGAAAATTAATCAGAAAGTAAAGAAAATTAAGAAGTGAAAATTGAGAAGTTCTCTTCAGGTAAGGTAGAGGGGACAACTTAGGATTTGCATGGATTTAACCTTCATAACCTTAATCAGTTAATTAGACCAAAGAGAAGTGATAAGAGAGTGGAATTAATAAACTTAATTACCTACTTGAAACAAAGGGAACCCTCAATTTCAAAAGCCCTTAAACTATTAGAGAACTCATAACAGTATAAGGTTGGTTAATTAAGCTTATTAAAACCAATGAAAAATAACCCAATTAATTCTGGAAATTATGTTTGAAATTATCCAATTAAACAATTAGACAATTAACCAACTTAATTAAACAATTAAGAGGCAAAAGAACCCAAATTTTACAATTCAAACCACATTGATAATTAAACTCATAATGAAAACTCAATTATAAATTCAATTAACAATGCAAAGGTTCTAAACATAAATTCCAACAAGTGTCTCAACACAAATAAAATCCAAATATCAATTTAATCCAAGAATAAAATTGACAACCTAGAACTAAATTGTCTCAACAAAATTACAACTTGAACTCATTTAAAACTAAATAATTTCAAGTCCTTGAATTAAAAAGATAAATGGAACATC